TTATGGCGGGAAAACTCGAGAACGAGAGAAGCTGGAAAATTGAAACTTTGGGGGAATGTTCCCTAATCACGCACGACCAAAGCTTTCAAACTCAGCTCCTTAGGACAACCAGGGGCTCACGTACGGGCATGTGAAAATTTTGGCGCGAAAATTACTAACTCGTGGCAGGAAAAGCTAGAAAGCTGAAACTTTCGGGAAGTGTTTCCTACTTATGTACAACCAAAATCAGACGTTTAGAAGCGCCCGGGGCCGACTTTCGGGCACGTGGAAATTTTGACGCGAAAATTACTAACCCGGGAACGGGAAAAGCTAGAAGGCTGGAACTTTCGGGTAGTGTTCCCCACTCATGTGCGAGCAAAATCAGATGTTTAGAAGCACCCGGGGCCAACTTACGGGCACGTGGAAATTTTGGCGCGAAAATCACTAACCGGAGAACGGGAAAAGCTAGAAGGTAGAAGCTTTAGGAGAATGTTCTCCACTCAACTTTCCATTTGTCGGGTCAGTGAAGTCGACATCTATAACTGACACCAGACAGCTCCACAATTAACTTCCTGAACTTCGACGGCCAGTATGTCACAGGGTTAGCTGTGATTCCTTGCGATCTTGCTACAGCACGAAAGGTGCAAAAACGCATAATCGCACCGGCCCGCCTGGTGCGTTCGAGCCTGGGTTTTTCTGCTTTCGTACTCTAACCTAAATAGCTGGGTTATAGCAATGTAGCTTATGCTGGGTGCCGTTCCTCATTTTTCCTTACCGTTTTTTTCCCTCTCCCCTACCTCCTCCACCATAATCCTAGCTCTAGCGCATAAAAGCAAGTAATATAAGGGCATACAAATTAATAGTAGTTGAAAAAACAACGCGAAGATTAGCAAATGACTAGCATACATTTTTGAAAAACGCGGTTCACGTCCCGGAAGTCTTGGTAATCAAGAATATAGTTTTGGTGTCCAAGAATAGTACAGTATAAATCTACATTTTTGTAAAAGCCAGATTTTCGACCCGAAAAAAGTTGTGCAATTTTTGAAATATGATTTCAGCACGTAGACAAAATACCAAGGATACCAAGACCGCTCGGGCAATCATTGCGGATATAGCATTTCAGTAATTGTTAGTGGAATACTGTTTCAGTACCAGCTTTGTTTGATCCTGAACACCTTAGACAAAATATACAATTTTAATGGTTAAATGCACAAATTGAAAAAAGAGAATGAGTGTGTGGGGGAGCTGGATACTTTCACTTTACACACTCACATTGCTTTTAGGTGCTTTCCTCTCCAGCATGTTAACGATTACGCTAAAAGCATTCATTAGTTTGAGAAAATTAACGAATCGTCGCGGAAATCCCACAGACTCGCCATCTTGCAACATCCGCTTCAATGGTCGCTTGCTTACGACGGAATAGATTTTTTTTTCCATCGTTTGGGCAATAGCAAATTCAGGAGACAATAGGGATTAGGGTGCAGGTGAAAAGTACTGGAGATACGGGGTACATACTTTGACACTTCGATCAGCCGTTGTTTCATCGTCGCTTTTTTCATTTTTCTCACGAGCACCACTCACTAACACGCAACATCCAGTGATTAATCACCAAGGTGAGCAACATGCCCTGTTCATCGGATTTGGCTTCCTAAAGTGGTGAAAGTGATATCCTGCACTTGTGCATCTGATTTCAGTCATTACCAGGCAAAAGCTAATGTCTTTTTTTCAAATTTTCAGCGTTTATTTTTCGTTTTTGTACTTTTGTCGCTAATATATTGAGTTTATTGAAATTTGTCATTTTAACTGTTTAAAAACTGAAAACG